TAACTCAGACCGCGGCAGTAATTTCATGTCTGAGATGTTTCGAGAGCTTCTCGCTCTCGCGGGCGTTGCTCACGCACCGACGGCGTCAGGACACCAGCAGGGCAATGGACTTGTCGAAAAACGGGTTGGCGAAATTAAGAAGGCATTGGCGAAGTATGTTAATGAGCAGCAGAGTGACTGGGACATTTTCCTCCCAGCACTCTGTGCTGCATTTAACAGCAAGGTTGTGGAGCGGACGGGCCGCACACCATTTTTTATGATGCATGGCACCGAGATGCGCTTACCGTTGAATAACTTCCTGCCATTTGAAGAGGATTTCGTGATCCCCGCCCATGTCTATGTACAGCAGATGCAACGTGGACTTGGTGAGGCCTTGGATTTGGTGAACGCAGAGGAGTTTCGGCATAAGCTTAAAGACAAAATTAGATATGATGCCAATATATCTCATACCTCGTATAAAGCCGGAGATCAAGTTTTGGTGTACGTATTACACCGCAAAGTGGGGAAAAATCCATCCCTTATGCCCCGTTGGACTGCTGGATGGGAGATCGTTCGATCGTCGGGGCCGGTGCATTATGTAGTTAAAAGTAATCGACGCGGGAATGTCAAAACTGACACGGTCCATGTTAGCCGCTTAAAACCGTATAATTTCCGCGATGTTGACACTATCTTACAAGATGAGCACCTACCGAAGTTGCTTGACTGTGTGGAGAAGGAATGCCCCGATGAATTGGTTGAGGCACCCGCGCCGCCGCCGGTGATTCTGTCCGTTGACTCAGCATCGTCGCGCCTTGATGCTGAGTACGCAGAATATCTGGATAAACAGATGGAAGAAGTACCGCTTTTGAAGACCCGCTCTGGGCGTGTGGTCAAGCCTGTGGAGAGACTTATTAATCAAAGCAACGACAAAAGCGCACAAGAGACCCGTCGGTTGATGTCAAAAAGCGTATGGTCACAAATGATAGAGAACCGGCTATCCTGAATGTATCCCAGCCGGGAAAAAATCAATCCGAACCAGTTGAGCCGTTGGCCAGTGATGCTCCGTCAATTACCTGTAACGCAATGGAGATCGGGCCGGCACAGCCAATAAAAACTTCGCCGGTAGAAGAGAAAATTCTTCCAGCCCCGGCTTGGGCGCGTCCACTTGAGCAGTTCTGGCCCCAGGGCGTGATATCCGATGATGCCCTTGACAAACAGGAATTCTGGAAGTATCGACAAATGGAGTGTAGTGATGTGATGATCTGGGACGCAGTTGTCGATGGTGGTTGTACCTTAGAGGAATCCCCGTATGCAGCTTGGCATGTGCTGAAAATAAATGGCATTATTTGTCATTACGGTGAGAAAGAGGATATACCATATACCAAAAAGGATACCTAGAGTATTTATCCATTTTCAGTGGCGTAAAATATTAGTTGAGTCTGTACACCGTCGCCTGCTTCACAAATACTCTAGCGCTATTTCACCATACGAATGCCTTTACACAAAGTTGCGATTCTTTTGGCCGGAAATGCGATCTGAGTTGCAGAAATTTTCTGGAGTTTGTACCTTATGCAATAATGATTAAAATGAGCGGCCGTGTAAATCTGTATATTTATTTTATTTTTAAACTTTAAGCGTTGAAATTTTATGCCTTAGTCTATTAATTGGCGGGAAATCCCCAGAATTGCTTGTACGTACAGATTGAGTGTGCGTAGTCGCCATTGGACAGTCCGCGATGACGTAGAGTTTATTGCTCTTGCAGGGACATCTGCGGTGCTGAAATTGCTTGACGGTAGCTGTAAAAATGAACATTCGCACCGGTAAAATCAGTGTTATTCATTCGTCGCCCCTCATCTTGTGCGAGTTGCCCTTGCTTCACTCTGATTTTCTGGCTAGCAAATTGAGACGTACCGTTATAATGCATCGCCCGAAGGTGCCGTCACATCCTTCTTATCAGCATGAGGATAGTACCAGTTCCTCGGAAGATTCTGTGCAGGTTTTGGCCGATGCGCAGCCGCCAGTGAGTCCGGATCCTCATGTTGGATGGCCGGAGCCAACATTTGAATGGTCGACTCGCATGGTTGATTGTAGCATTCCGCCGTCTCCATATGATTATGCTCGTGGAGGAAAGAGTTACGTTCCTCCGTCTGGTTTGATTCATTGTCCCTACAATCCAGACACTGATTACGTGGAGCTTCATCCTGAAACTCGCCTGCGTTTCCGCGGCAAAATTTATCAAAATGGATCGGAAATGACGCTGGACAAATACAATCGCTTTGTCCATACCCTGGATCTGTCAAAGGATGCACACTATGCATTACTCCGTTATCTTCGAGTGGATTTCCGACATGGATGGCTCACTGGACAGATTGTTTGCGAACTCCGTCGGAATTACGGCATCAACGTTGTGCGCAATCCTGTCGAGTTTCTCACTGCTTTGGATTATGTTCCAGGAGAAATCGGAGACCGTGGTGCTGTCGTACAAAAACATTGTAGAAGAAATCCCTGGAAAATCAGGTAATGAAAGCGCGTTTTTTTTCACAATACAACCCGTGGTCGCCATACGCATCCAAAGGTTTGCGGCATTTGTTGCACTCGTGTATTCAGAGATTTTAAGTAGGGTGCGTTTTGCAAGACCGGACGATTAACTGCAAAATCGACGACAAACCTGGCGTTGGTAATTTAAGGTTCCGTTGATCTGCATAAGAGGTTGCATTATACAGTACACAATCAACAGTTCTACAGATAGATTTTAACGTGGCGAACTGTTGTGTTTTAAGAGTCTTTATTTTGGTTTCTTGTCTTTATTTTGGTTTCATGTCACTTCAAATCGAAGCCATTTCACGTTGCAGCGGACAATTAACAATAAGACTTTTTTTGAGGAACAAAAAAGTAAAATTAAAATGTGTGTAAAGTCTTCACGCAGACATATTACCACATATACAAAGCAGTATTACTCCACTTACACCGTTCTCGATGCATGACGATGTTGCATTTCTGAGGTGTTTTAGTTCAATTTCAGTACACTGCCACTGAAACAGTAAAATACTCGCATAACTGTATTTTATTTTATTATATGAATAATTTTTGTATTTGGGAAAAGTGTACTAATAAAAAGTGAAAAGTTGAAAAAGACCATTGGTCTTTTCAGCGCTAACGAGGCTGTTGCGATTTTCGAAAATTCGAGTCCAGTTGGCGGCTCAGGATTAAATGCTCAGGCAGAAATTCGCTGCGCACACAGTCTCTTGTATGCAGTTTTCGTGCTCGGTACTCTTTTTAATCGGCATTTGCCATGACACATAATAATACGCCTGCGCGGGTTTACACTAATAAAAGTTCCAAATTTTAAACATTGAAAAAACATCCAAAATCATTAGCGTTTTTCGTGAATTTAGGACGTGCGGTAAATGTACCCAAAACAGCAGCTGCATTCCCGCTTGGTTGTCTATTTGAGGTCAGTCGTTCATCTCTGAAATCTCTGCGTCGTTATTAGTGAAACGATACCTCCTTTGTTTCGCTACGAACGACTAGTGCTGCCGTTGAAGGTTTGTTAATCGTACCCCGTTGTTAATTCTATCGTCAAGCATATGCCGGTATTTGATATGTACGTGGACAGCGCCAACAGAACGGAACGGTGTCGGAAAAGGGTTAGACTGCAACTCCCGACGTGCGCATGCGTATCGATTGTATTTCCGATCGATCAGCGCTGCTTGCGTAATGCTACAGTTGATGCAAACTGGCGCCGGACTGTGCTGAAAGTTTAGAGGACACAGCGTGCAAAAATATTCACGGACACACGCTGCCCGATTATAACAGTGCGCCTGCGCCTTGATCGCGGAATCCAGCGACAATTACTAAGGGACTATGCGATCGGATTATCGATTTGTAAGGGTGACGTTTATTACGTTGTGGGGCTGCAACGTGGCACCAGTAAGGGAATCACCAACCCGTTTTGGAAAACAATAGAATAGACGTCTCCCTTATCCAGTTTATGGTGTCTTCCTTATCCAGACGCTCCAATAAAATAAGATCCATTGCGCGACTAGTATAATATACTCGCAATGTATCTTATTAAATAAGAGCAAAAGTGCCGAAAATTCGTGGTAATAAAATTTTTATTGTCACGAATTTTCGGCACTTTTGCGGGGCTTAGCTAAAGTAAAAGAGTAAACACGGTTTTAGCAGTCTACATGACAAAGTAATCATTATTAAATTTGGATGTTGCAGCGGGCGTAGTGTTCGGGACACTGCTTGTCATCATCTCCGCTAATGTCAACACATTATAGGAGCCACCGCAGATGCAGGTTGCATCTTCGCTGGCTCAAATAATGTGTTGGTGTAAGCTTTGCAGCAGCAGCTTATTTGCCATTTTTTATGGCTCGTGATCAGCAAGACAAGTTAATTCCACCTTGTTTTGCAAATGTTTCCGGCCTCAGCATGCTGGTCTTCGTGGCGCCGTTTTTGGGGCGTGTTACCGCGTTTAACAGCATCCTCGCCTCCTGGGAACGCAAGCCGCAGTGGTACAAGGCCCTCCTCTACGGCAAAATGGCCGTTCTTCGGAAGAACGGAAGAGATAAAATATCCACTGATAATTAGTGGAAGAACTTCTTCCACTAAATGTCAACGGATGTTTTATTCCGAACGTTCTGGTTCTTCTTATGATGCTAATCACCGCCGCCCTGAACGGCACGCGGGCTGCAATAGGAGGGCGCCGTCCAGACCGTGGACGCGCGGTGAACACTCATCGGCGCGGCCGGTACCCCATCGGATGGTTTTTTGCTGCGCTGAAAAATCTTCCGATGAGGTACCGGCCGGAAACTGCGCCCCTACGAACTACTGTAACGGAAACTGCCTTAATGGAGAAGCTGTTTTGACAGCTAACACTGCCAATAACAGCTGATAATTCGTAATACTGATATTCCTTTGCTTCATTTCAGTCATGACTTTTGCAAGTTTTATGGTTATTACTGACGGGAGCAATCTGTAAAACATAAACGATTGGCTGTGGTGAGATATAGCGACATGTCATGGTTCCATATGGAATGAGCAACAAGTGCAGTTAGTGAACCGGCGCTGGTTAACTTGATCAGTACAAACTACATAAACAACTACAGGCGTAAAAATAATGAAGATCCTTCCAAATATCACATCCCACAATCAGGAAGGGAATTCGTTCCAGACTAACCAATCCAGAATAAAATTCCCTTGACATTCTGATCACTCCACCATCCACGACCTATCAGTAACACAGAAATGGTAATAAAGCGGCCGATGCCGAAGAACTGATTCCATGGTCAACACGATTCCAAGAAACAGTCATTAATAACCGTCGAACGCCTCAGGAAAATTCTTAGTACGTCGGTGGTCCATCAAATGCATACGCTTGGCTACTGTCGTCACCTACACACGAAGAACTGGCAACGGGATACGCTCCAGGAAAAGGCAGCCAACGGCCTTTCGGTACATAGCCGTCGCCAATTCACCCGGTGACGGACGGTGACAGTAATTCCAGTGATTACTGTCGACAGTGTCCTTCGGAAAAAAATAACGCTGCTCATCTCCGGAGCACAAATAAGTGGTATCGGCGAAAGAACTGCGTGCCATGATAGCGGCGGTTATAAAATTCCACACGGCCGGTCAATAATTTGGCCTTCTCGATCACCGATTCAGTGTTTTCGCTGATTGCTTCATTTTTCAGGGTGTACGCTAGATCATCATCGACGTTGGTTTTCCGGTCGTCCATTACAATTTGAAGATACTCCTCCAGGCGCTCCAACTGCGATTCGGTCAGGTTGCCGATGACCTTGCGGTACATGCCCATCTCGTGCATTTCGTCCAGCTCTTCCACTTTAATTACCACCGGACTTTCCGGCGCATTGGACGCGCTGCTGGTCGACGAGGAATTGGAGGAATCGAAGCCGGAATCGGGCGCCGACGAAACTGTACTGTCCCGGTCGCTCTCGGCTTCCGCTGCGTGTTGAGTCTCCCGGCAGTGACGCCGCACACTGGATTTCGTTGTGAACTGGCGCTGGCATTTGTCGAAAGGACAGGTGAACGATCGAAAGCCCCGGGGGGCGTTGAGGTGCTGTTGGAGGGTGGCGGAACGGGTGAACAGTTTCGGGCATTTATGGCATTTGAAGGCTTGGCTTCGGTGTGGCGGCGCTCGTGCCTTTCTCTCGAACCTGTTGAATATTAGAATAGTGATGCTATCAACTTCTTGACTGTTTTCCTGAACCGAACTATCGCGTATAAGTGAATATATGAATGGAGTGACAAGATAGCTCTTGTTAACTTATCGTTAACTACTCGTTACGGTGTGCAAGTGGAACACTATGTTGAGTAAACGGGCGACCTACCATCATGTAGCTCACACAACGTGACTTTGTATTCGTCGCTGTATGTTACAAGACGTACTGTATAACTAGAAATTGGTTCAACTGGTTCTAAAATTCTCAAGTGTTCGGAAAACAGTACGATATGCTTTACGTGCTAAAAGCAAAAATTCTGGAAGGAAATCGGTAACTCAAACTCATTGGACGGTACATCGCCCGTTTAATTAGCATAGCGGCCCGCTTGAATGTCATCGACTCATTAGGAGTATTGTGTAATGGCAGTAGCTTTGCAAACAGACATGGGAGCTCGTTTAACAAGCCAGTTTCTCACTGAAGCGAAGCTAGTGGAATAGGGACGAAATCAATTATTTCCATAAATTACAGATTAATGCTCATAGCCTTTAGAAAATCGTTTTTCCTATGATATATTTCCGAAAGATGTCTATACAGTATCTAAGGTACCATAGCGTTGATGCTGGTCGGTGCATTAAGTGCAACGTAAATTAGTCTAATTTATCACCGGTTCAAGATTGTTAGGTGCCTCGTTAGCTTGTCGTTTCTATTGACAACGAGCTCCTACAGCTGAAGGCATAAAACTGAATACTTAGTGATCGTCGTTCTAATCCTTCTCGGGGGTACATAAAACTATCAGAATACTGTTTCTCCGCGCTGAAGAAAACAGACGCAAATCCACCCGAAACGCATAAATCAGTCTTATGTGGATGCATTATATGGTAACAAAAAATGCTAAATGATTATCGCTTCCGGATAATGAAAATGCCGACAAATTTTACTGCGAGTTAATGAGGCCTGTGTTATTAATTTATGTATATTTACGACAATCTCACTGTGATGACCTTAAGGATCGTTTATGAAAACAGTAATCTGCCAACGCAAAGTAATCAATCTCATTAAAAAAAACCAAAGATTATTAGCTTAGGTATTATGTTGCAGTTATAGTTTAGGACTGCAAATGTACAATATAGTAAGGAACGCTCCCATTTTAGGACGCCAAACCGGGTTAGCAGTAAATAAGCTCTCACCGAAACAAATTTCTAAACAGTACAATAATATTTAGCGCAACAACGACTTCCTAATATTGTGGCATTATTTTTCGTGCGTTGCACCACTTTGTGCATTCTCTAACAGTGTGCAAACTTTAGGGTGTGCAAACAGTCTTATAGCGCTACTACGGAAGATTTCCAATTCTCCGTAGAAAAAATTCTTATGTGCGCTTGGAACAAAATTACTCGATAGACTGAATTTATAGTTTTGCCTTTACAGTATAAATTGCGCTTCTGTTAAAACCTCTGCGCTCTTTTTTAACAATTCTAATAAAAAAACCGACTTGCAGCTGCTTCTGCGTATTGGACAAAAGATACTTATTAAACGTAAAAACAAATTCTAAGACAACCGCTAAAACATAAGAAGAGCTAAAAAAACTAATACCACCTAGGGAACGTTGAAACACCCCAGAAAATTTAAGACAACCTGAAAAAACTTAAGAATACCTAAGAAAACCTTGGAAAACCTAGGAAAACGTAAAAACACCTAAGAAAACCTAAGACAACCTAAGAAAACCTATGAAAACGTACAGTACCTTGTGAATTGAAACGTTTCCGGCATTTTGAGCAGGTGTGATCTCGTGAGGCCACGGAATGTATCCTTTGGTGGGTGCGCAAGTGAGCCAATTGAGTAAAGCGTTTCTGGCAGACTTCACACGCCCAGTCACGTCGTCCGGCGTGGAAGCCAGATGCGCTTTGAGGATATTGATCTGACTAAATCGTTTGGGGCATACGTGGCACCTACAAGGAACGCGGCGTGTTGCTGAAGATGTTTTGAACACAATTCCTTCGCGATTCGTTATAGCATGGTACGAGACCGTTCAACGCACGCGTACGGCTTCTCGCCGGTTGTGGTGACATAGATGGATTTTTAGGCTTTTCTTGCTGGCATACGACTTCCCGCAAATGCCACAGTTCACGCTGGCCTCCTGGTGACTTGGGATTCCCGGGTGACCTGGAAGAATAACTATTCCTTTACTGGAGCTACGATGAGGTACTTATGTGAAGAATGTGGCATACCACATACACATTGCGTATAGAAGTACTGATCAATATGGAGAATAAAGAGCTGTACTGCGATTCGCATACTGAACGTCTGGACATGAGCAATACAATTATCAATACAACACAACACTAACTAAAAGGTCGAAACGAGGCCAAAACTTGAACCACGTAGTGTGATATTTTAATGTAGCATTCGGCACATACTTACAAATTAGAGTTACGCACTGTTAAAAATTTAATTAAGTATACGTAAATTTTTAAATGCTATCGATCTGTCAGGTTAGAAAGCATTATGTCAAGGATGTTTGCATGTACATACTAACCGTCAAAATGCAAAGAACCTGCTGCAAAAATTCGACAAAACAACGCGGAAGATCCATCCAAGGCTCCAAGCATAACGTGAGCATTAACGCTCAATTAAAAATGCTTTACCTGAAATTCATCCCAGCCCATTGTGCAAACGGCGTTTCCATGTTGCATCTGAATTACTGGGAGCCACTGCCGGAAATCAGTTTTTGGTCCAGGTCCAGGGTTTTTGGTCCAGTTTTTGGTCCAGGATAGTGAGAAGTCAATGATGGACATCCCGGGGCTCCAAACTCAAATAAACGGCGCTCCAAAAAAGCAAGATGCGGAGTCACTGCTAACCTGTAATGCGGTTCCTTTCCACTACACTAATTACTGTTTTAACTAGCATGTGCTGATAAAGTAAAGGAACAGGATCACACACCAGTGCTGCTTTATCATTTTTTTCCGGTTTCATCGTTGATAATGGTTCATTTTCTCGTTGCTACCGCCGCGATTCTGCTGCTGCTGGCCTTTTTGCCTGGCTACCTTGGCTGTTCCACACAGAAAGGCCTGACCGTGGACAGATGTAAGTCATTGTGGATGTGGTTGGATAAACTGCCCAGTATCCAGTGTTCTGGCAAGATTATGATGTTCCTGTAATTTGCGGCACAGGCACGTATAATACAAGCCGAAGTCCAAATTGCGCTCACTTCGTCGAGCGTCGTCATGTAGAACCCTGTTGCTCATGCTGGAAGTCAGGCATGACTCTTGTTTGCTGTTATTGGCTTGCTTGATGGCCATAAGATTTGCCCGATCATTTCTACATTCTAATTATAAATAAAGGACCCCCACAGGGAGACAATTTTGGCTGCTTCGGCCAGAACCATGGGATGGCAGAAAAATGCTGACGACAGCGACGAAGCGGTGTTTTTCACAGTCATGGCTTTGCATTCTGAAGTTGATTCGGCCACATAAAGTTGGCAGTACAATGATCAGAATTCTTCATAGATGATAGAACATTGTGGTACTGATATAAAAGCGGCAAGGTCTGTGTGTAAGACGAAAACAGTGGAAGACTTGCGTAGTGCCAGCTCCACAACTCGTGGTTCTTGATCGGCATGAATTCCCTGTATCCCCGAGTGGGCTACCGATCACTTCGGCCGTTTTCATTTCGGCCACGTTCGGCTTGCACACATTGCGACCGTCATTCGAGCCAATTGACTTTATTGCAAACGTGGCTAGCCGTGAGATGTTTAAAATAACGATTTGCAAATATTTATGTAGAATAAATTCAATAATGATTTTTAAAGTAAGGCCAGGTCTACGCGAGACTACTCACGCGCGCAATATTTTATCTACGCGCAAGAGCTTTCGCCCGTAGTAAAAATGATACAAAATCAGCTGCGCGCGCTAGTCTGGTTGCTTTTTCACATATATCGATAGACGAGCAATTAAAAAGTACAAATAATAACAAATTGACCAAAAAGACAGCTACGAATAATAGCTACGGAATGTACGGATACTAATAATTATAAAATCACGATTTGAGTTCATACAGCAGCGTCTCTGCGTTTATGCGGCTACTTAACCGCATGTTTCAGAGCTTCGGCTCAGAGACGCAAATGCTTTGATAGGTAATCTCCGTCTTATTACGAGCGTGTCATCCCTGGGCTCTTGGTGGTTACTGTAACACTCTGGTGACAATGATTTCGCGCAGCCATTCGCGAAATTTCCGGTATGGGCGGTAATGCCATCATTTTTCCAGTTAATAAGTCCAGTTGTTCCATCTTTCCCCTTTTTCTTAATAAGCCATCAGCCACCGTTCTGCAGGAAGTGTCTCTCGCACTCTGAACGGCTCTTCATCACGGGCGTTCAGAGGTCAGCGAAACCTGGTCAGCATTTCCCGTTGCATAGTGCGGATGTGTTTTCGATGTCGTTGTGTTTCTCCTGGCGTTTACGAACACGTGATTGGTCAGTTTTCACCAGTCTTAAACAGTTTTTATACAGTAGCTGCTTCGTAGGACATACAACTGTCTCCAGTTTCAAACAGAGTCGAGCCCAATTTAGAAGAAAAAATATTACAAAATTAACAATTACAACCGTCACGAGTACTGGTATCCAGCTGAATTGTGCCGGCTTTTAATACGAAATTATGCCGGCTTGTTCAAAGTACCGGTTTGTATCCATGGAATTATTCGGACATTATTTGAATATCTGACCTTGGTGATTGTGATGCATACCTGCCGTGGACCAGCGAGTATTACATTACTAATAATATTCTAATATCATAGTTAGTAAAGTGCTAATTCACAAACCGATAATTTTCGAATTATTTCGATAAATCGCGGGCGTAGTTAACTGACCATAAGCGAGAAGCTCACGCGAGTAGCCAAACCGCTACGCGCGCGATACTATCGTATCGCGTATACAGATATCTGTACAGTAATAGCGATGCGCTACAAGGTATACAGATTAGCTGCGTTGTGCAAAATATCGCCGCAGCCTGCATGTAGCCCAAGACGTACAAGAGTAACCAGCATACAGCGCCGTTCATTTTTTATTTGATTTAACCATCATTTTTTTCCAGTGCACCAGATCCTGAACGAAGCGAAACAGCGCAACGGCAACGGCGTCATGCAGCTTCATGGTTACGGGCGCGGTCGCACGTTTGAGGACGTACCTGCAATGGAATGGCCACCGAACACGCAGATTATCCGAGCGCCAGAAGGCGGCACACTGCATGTTCCCTGCAAGAACAACAACACGAAAGTATGTATTCATTTATGTCAAAGGCCCAAAGCTATGCGTAGGAGATGGTAAAACTGAGGGAACTTTGTGCGCCTAATAAGTTCTTTCGTACTATGAAAAAGGTTTTCATCTACAATGGCTAAAAGGGCATGACAAAAAATTAGGTGGGTAAGCAGTATAAGAATTCGATATTATTTTTGTGGGTATCTACCGCCGCTGCCGTCGGCTCGTCCAGATACTGAAATCCGTCATAACTCAAGCGTCGTACGGTGGCGATAGCACCGCTGCACGTTGGTAAATTTAAAAAAAATCCATTAATTGTTAATTTTCAATTAGCAAATAGCCACTGGATTATTTTAACATCTCCCGGTTTGTTCCGGTTTATGTTGTACGTGGGAATTGGGATAAGCAGTGCGTCGTGCAGGTCAACACAACATTTCGCAGAGGACAGCTAGTCGACTTTCGATCGTAGACATTTTGGCGCAAGGTTATCTCGCTGCGAGATGTTTCGTCGCCAGGGCGTTTCGGGGACTAGACATTTCACAATTCACCGCGAGGCTGTTTCGACGGACGTCCTTTTAAGTAGAGAAATTTTTTATCCGGCTTATTGAAACTGTCAGGAACACATACGAAAAAATCCAAGAACCCAAGAGAAAACTAACTGAGAAAAAAATTACGATGTACAAGAAGGTATGAAAGCTAAAAACCATAAGAAAAACCTAAGAAACCTTATAATAACTAAAGAATAACCTAAGGTAACATAAGATTAACCTAAGAAAAGCCTACGATTAACCTATGATGACACACCAATACCTAGCCTAAGAAAACTTTAAAAGAACTTCCAAAAAAGTGGGAAAACCCGCGAAAATTATGCGTGTCGAATTCTTTTGCGGCAAAGTATCCGCGACTAGACGTTCTGCGTCAAAATGTCGCAAAGGTTAAATGTCTCAGTGCAAATTGTCCCTGACCGAAGTGTCCACTGTCCAGCATCGAAATATCCCGCGGCGAGAAGTCGTGCGTCAAATTTAATTGCGGCGAAAGGTCACGCCTCCAAATGTCCGGGTGCTGTCGTGCCGGAAGTTGCCAGCCACGAGTGCACTGTAATCCCCAGCAGTTCCGCACTAATCTATGTAATAAAGTCCGTCTTTTGTTACGGATGAGACACAGTAAAGGTTGCCTCAGTGTATCAATACAACTTATAACAGAGTGATGGTAAGCACTTGCAGTGTTACTAGGCGGCCGGTCGAAGTAATAGCGATTTTAGATTTCACAAAACAAGTTACGTCCAGTTCGACGTTCGGGTAGAAGTTGGCGTTACGGGTTGATTTACGTCCGTTCGCGACGTAAGGCGCCGTAAGCCAACGTCGTTGGCTGACGCGTAAAACTGTCTGCCTTACGTGGATCTGTGCAACGGCTCAGCCATATGTTAAAGCGACAAGCCAGCGTATGCTGCCTGTGGATCTTTTTTGTGTGCTCTAACCGCCTCCCCGAGAGCAGGTTGGTCACGCTCTCGGCACTCTCGATTCGATTTATTTTTCAGCTGTACGTCACTGCAAGTGTGCATCCGTACAAGCATTTTAAACGCTGTTTAGTCTGATAACGTACTGTTTATCTGACGCGGTAGTTTCTAGTGAACGGAGCCTAAACCATGTGAAATCTAAAATTCCCTAATGTCAATGCTGTTTGAACCTCGTGTTCCCTTACGTACTTAAATATTCGCAAGTTGTACTAGTGGAAAATTTCCCTGCAGTTTTTCGCCGCTTGCCGATTGAAGAATTAGCTTTTTTTCACTAGCAAATTCGTCTGATCAGTGGGATCCGGTTTCGGGTGACAGTTCTAATTTGTGGTTAATATTTATTTTTATTTGCCCTCTGTCAGTCTGTTGTCATATCTGCACTCCGCATTGAGTCTCGCAGTTCAGAAATTGTCCGTATCAAATTCTCCGCTGCTGTAATGTCGTGAATACAAGCTACACATGTGATGCTTATTTTACATGACGTTTTGGCGCACAGGTGTCCCACATCGAGATTCCGCCGGCGTACACGTACAGAGGAAGGCAGGTTACTGTTACGGATGTCAACGTTCCCCGCAGAGTGTTCGAGGGAGTCAACTATCGCTGCAACTTCACGGAGAAGTCCAGTCCGGGGGAGAACATTGCGCGCAGCATCAAACAGGTGACCGACTACGATCCGGCCACTGGTGCGTTCTCCATCGCGCTGGAGGACTTTACCAACGCCCACAGCGGCCTGTACGAGTGCCTGCACTCCAACGGCAGCCAGCGGGTGGTGACGCAGCGCTATTATGTCAGCGCCACCCTCCTCCGCCACGACGTTTTCCAGCCGCCCATGCCGAACGTCACGGCGCGCTACGGCGAACCCGCGGAAATGGAGTGCCCGGTGCATTTCCGTTTCCTCCCCGGACACCTGACCGACCGTTTTCTGTGGCGCCGCGGCCGCTACCTGCTGATGGGCGATTCCATCCCGGAGATGGCGGATAAGGCCATGTCATGGCGGGGCTTTTATGGGCACATTGAGACGGGCATCAATGCAGCGTTGCGGTGTCATGCCACCTTGAAGATCCGCCGTGTCACATGGAACGATGCCGGTCTGTACGAATGCTGGTTCCGCGTGGACGATGGTCTGGACGAGTGGATTGTGCAGGAAGCATACCTGCACGTTATCTAACCGTAGCCGCTAGTACACAGCTCCGGTTATTCGTTAGCTTAGGTTTTCATTTTTGGAATATTTAGTCAGCGTTGCCGTTTCTACTGTGAACAGTCAGTACTCTTGTCGCAAAATGTGGTAGTGACTAAATACCGTTAGATAATTCTAGCGATGTATGGCAGTGCCTTTTTGCTTTTCGAAATTGATTATTGGGGTTGCTGCAGTCACTACTGAACCTGTGTTGCGGCGCATCGCATATGATAAAGGTGTACAAAAATTTGCAATTAGTGATCATTATTATTAATGATTCTTGTCCATAGAATAAAATAGTACAAATTCGATAATACATACACACTACCCTCGCGCCCCCAGGAGGCTGCCTCTGGCATCCACGAAGGTGAGGGCCACGTAAGTTATTGTTGCAGTACATATCAGTAACTGTATATAAGCAACCTTATATGATGCGCACTGGAGGAAGAATATTTTCGCGCGAAGCAAAAAGTCGACGAGCTGAGTATGAAATATTACTTTATTGGATTTTGGTACCGCGTTTCGCTTTAATCAGGGGCAGAAAAGCGATGAGTATTTTAGACCACTTGAATTACAAGTACATTAATATTATTACAGACCCCCACTAACATTTTCTCAACAGATTTCAACATTTTTTTGATCTTGCACACTCGAGAAATTGATAATACATAGACAAATCAAATTTAATATTACACAAACTGTGTAATACACACAAAATTTTAAACAAAGTTCTTATCGCATGAAGGATACACGAAGGATATACGAAAGGTGTATGTGGAGGATAGTTGGGATACAAACCAAAACCGCTGCCTGTCCGCATGGGATGGGAATGATTGCGGTTTTGCTAGCTGTTTTTCGAAAAGATGGTTTTTAGAAAAGTCGGTTATTAAAATTTTGGCGTGCAAAATGTTTTTCGGATGGATGCGCGTGACAATCTTCATCCTGATTCGTAACCGGAACAAGGATTCGGATTCTGATCGGCATACAGCAACGCTCATTAGATAATTGCACAACCGTGGAACATAACTTGTGGTTACACAAGCGTTGTTCAAAGGTGACACGTTCAGGAAAACGTAAAGAGTCGGTCGAAATTGACTCGAAAATGACACTTGTAAAACACTTCCGTGTTCATCACCACTCGAAATTCATCGGGCTACAGAATGCCGTAAAGCAAGGCAACAAAGTGTTTGGTAATGCTGGAAAGTGGAAGTTTTCATGCATGTACAGGAATTCGGTACCATAGGCATATACCATTGCTTTTACTTAAGTATAGATGCTGTACACAAATTACAGCGCTTTAACCAATCATTATAATACGATGTAATTAAGAGTAAATCCAGGCTATGCTAAACGTGCAGATGCAGTATCAGTAATCGCCTTTTGTTGATCTATAGCTCAATAACCCATGCGCCCATTGGGATAGGAGAATTAATTAGCGTAACTGTGATTCTCTGTTCTTGTTGTGTTGTAGACACCGCAAAGAACCACATCCAATTTTGACACCTTAAGAATTGGCAAACAATAGCACAAGCTTAGTCAATCAGAGCACTTTTCTGTGTTAGGATAAACCTGTATCCTTTAACTTTAGCTTCAACGTTTAAAATCGTAGATTGGCGCAGTTTGAACGACGGTTCAGTACATGCTTGCAATCTGTGCAACTTGCCAAGTTCTTATTTTATTCGCAAGGTAAGTAAGTTAGGAATCGTAAGAATTCTAGATGCGGTCGTGCTTGTGCTTTTGTTCCAACAAAGTTCAGCTGCGTCTTTAGGTTCCAGGGCGATGGTTTCACAGAAAAAAAACCTAACCGAATTCGTTAACGCTCTTAGCGACTTAACCCAGTTACACAAACGTAACAACGGAAGTTCATGGCATCTTTATTGACAAAGGAATGGAAGAAAGGGAACAATGTTTGGGCAAGAGAGTATTACAAGGTTGATCAAGTTCATGCAGGCTGTAGTAAGCGAGTGCAGAGACTGAATTCTAGAAATTCCCGAGAAGGAAATTGTGATATTTTCCCGGTACGTACTTTACAGTTACGTATTCACGCGATTATGACTGACCTTGTCCCAGCAACGGCGCCGCAGAACGCCACCAACATGTACAGTCCGCCTCTCCACTTCACCTAGGTCCACTCCGGCAGAAACGACCGGGATCGTGGCGCACACTTTCTCAACTGCCAACGCCGGAAGGAGAAGCATGCGTCTGTCGTTGGCGGCCGAGGAAGAAATCGCCACTTTCCGACACGGACGTTGCCGGCATGGAATTTGCCCGTGAAGTACTCCACAGCATCCTGCTAACCGCATAACACTAACAACGCGCCGCGAGTCGCGTGTGGACGCTGGCCGACGCGTGCACTTGTGGATCATGGTATTGCATAGCTAACTTTCTTCTGTCATAGGAAGTGTATCGATAGTCCTGGGTGGTATGTAAAGTGTGATAACGGAGAGGAATGTCGTTGGAAATCTTGTGAACTGTATGCATTGGCTCGTGGCTAGGAGGTCCATTTTGTGGCAGTAAGCTTCTGGCGGAAAAGTAGTAATCATTCTCGCTTAACCAACTAGGCGGAATACATTACCGTGAATAAGCGACTGACAATCGTTGCGCTGCTTGCTGTAAAGGTCACAGAAGTAGCCGTATAGAGATACGGTTAACAATGGCTGCTGTTATTGTTGTGGAAAAGGCCGCCGGATCCTGGGCCTTACGGGCCTTTCTTGCCAAAGCAGTTGTAAAAAGCCTCAATACACATTTCAGGATCCAGCGTATTGTTCCAGTCCAGTATACTCCACAGGGTCATAGTCTGCAGTATAAGATTTCTTCCTCTGGTTTTGTCCGTTTGGGTCACAAACGCGTAAGCAGTAGCGGGAGATGCCGGGGGTTTACAACGCCACCTAGAACAACGATTGTGCCGTCAAAGGATCGTCATCAAGCTGATAACTGTCAAGTAATGTGTAACTGTACTGTACTCGTATTCATACTGTGAATGTGCTGTACTCTTGTGTAATTGTACTGTACTGTACTATACTAATACTTACTCCGCAAAGCAGGAGCACAGCGCCGTCCATTGTGGTGAATTCCAAAGGTCATCCTTGGATAATTTCAGCTGATCGAACGCCCACAAAATTTTGGAGATGCTCGTATTACTTGGATTGGGACAGTTTTGATCCATCACTTCAATCAGCGATGATGCCAGGTTTGTTTCTGAACCGTCCCGGAAAAAGCAGTACGACCATGCGGCTACACGGACGGTTAGTCCTCTGCTAAATCTCATTTGCGGAAGCACACAGGACCGTTGGCAAAATGACGGCAATCGCGCCGGATTAAAATGCAGTTTCCAGTGTTTGAACACGATATGGTCACACACCGTCGCGCATTGCTGGAGAAGCTGCATAATCGAGTCGTCCCAGTAGTCGGACTCCGGGTGGAAATTTCGTGCACGCGGTGATGGTGTTCCTGAACTATAACGATCCAGTTTAGCTTGACTCGGCTGTATTTCAGAAGCGCAATCAACGGCAGCAGGAATAACCTGGAACACCAGTGACCAGCTAAATACAATGTGCGCACGGATCCGGTTAGAGCACACTGAATTATCTGAATTATCTGCATCATCTGAATTATCTTTCTGAACAAACGCAGTAGATAAAATATTATTCCAGTTCCAGGACACCCTGCAAATCGAAATGGGCAGATTATTGTTCCGCCGTCAATCAGAAAAGAGGAAGCGGCAATTTTTTACAGCCAGTAGCCGATATTCTTGGTTACTACGCACCTTCTAAAGAGGGATCGATCATAAATGGTCGTGTAGGACAGCACAGCAGACAGCAAAACTTGGGGGAGTTGTTGCAACGCGACATTAGTGTTTTCTCGTGATTCATCTGAATATACGCAAAACACTGCTGTATAAGTGACATAGGTACTTTTTTTCCATGTCAGAATAAATTCAGCGAACATTAGAAATTTACGGGTTACGCTTAAATCCGTACTACGGCGCTCCACGCTACACGGTTTAAACACTTAACTCGCTTTTGAGTGACTGGAGGCTTCGTACACTCCAGATATTTCAATGTAAGTAATTGTAATGGCCCGGCTGAATGTGGCTAGAAAATGGTCGGTGCAGCAAGGGACTATCTAAATGCGAAGCACGGTTACGCACTGGGATAAAACGTAGAGCTATGGCCATCAGTGAAGCGCCAACTTTCCGCCAATATCGCTCCACTTGCACCTTTACATGCTCAAGGGAAGAGGCCCGGTACATGGTACCAAATTCGAGTACATGGAAAAAAACTTTTACTTTCGCGCACTCGCAAACACTTTTTTGTTTCGGTTTATAACATTCTGTAGCTAGAAGATTTGTATACACTGGCGTGAACACCGTTTGTGCGCGCAAGATCCGGTTCGGGAGTTATGGCTGTTAGAAACTTCCAAAAAGCTTAAATGCATTCAGGTGTACCAAAAGTCTCATTATGGACCGATCTCCCTCAAATTTTGCAGGTAAATGCACATAACCACGAAGAACGTTTTTACACCGATCCACTGTTTTAGCATGTTTTTCAAATTTTAAAATGAATTTCGAAAATTTTAAAATTAATTTTAAAATTTTAAAAAAATCCTGGAAGTCTTGATCGGAGTAAAAATCGGCTTGTACATGGATGTACTAGAGTAGAGTATTTACAGTAGTACCTACTTGCCTTCTTTCACAGCAACAGACTGAACCATAGAATTTACCAAGTCCGTGATGACACCGTGTGGTCCGTGTAGACGCTCGCTGAACTCTCGGAAATATCTCTGCGCCTGCAGTGACGCGAATTCGCCAATTTTTGTGTTTAAAGAAGGAGAAGGGTGTCCTCTACACACAACAGTTACGTCCCGTTTCGTAGAGCAGACAAACATAGTTGCAGTGCAATTCAGCCAAACTGTAGGGAAAACTCTCCAAAACTGGATTTCATAGAAACACGAGAGGTCCACATCATCCGGTAGAGGAATGGTTCTCTTGTGGAATGTTCGACAATTCACGGAGGGTGCGTTCGTAGAAGCAGGTCGCAAGCGCTTACAAACCAAGGCAGGTTCATCGTTGATTACGGCGATGATGTTGCTGTTATTTGGTAGTGGAACCACAATCTTCGCTAGTCTCCAGTAGCTCTCCACATAACGCAAGCTAACTGGGCTGTCAAGAATCATCGTTCGAAATCGTGTATCATGCAAAATATGCGCGGTACACCAGTGTTCTGCTTCCGTACCTGGCAGCTGTACAAGGGCTTGTATTCCACGTTCATTCTCGCCGATTTCGGGTCTCTCCAGTACAGCACTTGTCGCATTTGACGAAATGGCACGTAAAATGATTTCTTTTCGATACAAAAATTCAGTTTAACCATCAGCCCACCTTCCACGACGTCGCAAACGTATCCACGGTATAAGCAACTTTCATGTTCATCGCAAACAATGTCGACGATGAAGTCGTCGTAACGGTCCGTATGGCGCTCTGGCGTACGTGAGTGGTATCTGCTTAAATAGTGCACTTTATGCAGATATCCGTTTCCTGCCATGGTAGATAGAGCATTCAGGGAATTCCGGGAATTAAACGGGAATCCCGGGAATTAAACGGGTCTAGTGGAGGGCAAACTGAGAGACCGAAGTGCGATTAAGGGAGGCTGTCCAGTTCATGGTCGCAGTGTCATTAAGGTGCCTCTGTCTGGCTGGAATCAGATGTGGATTGTGGAAGCGATCCATGTTTTCTGTGCAAGGCGGCGCAAGGCAGACGTGATGCCGTTTGCTTCGAAAAAGATTTCGCATCTTCCTCACAGCTTAGGTCAGCACTTCTCCTTTGTGTTTGGTGCTTGGTTGTACATAAAAGGATTTCGCTGTTCCACGGTCGACCGGATGCTAGGTGTCATCATCCATATGACCATATCCATGATCCATATGAACCATCGTTCCGTTACACTTTTGACAGGATGATGAGAAGAAGTACGTACGTATAAAAAAATCCTATCCCGCCAAAGAAAATCGGTATCCCGCCCAAGCAACTATTGTGACCGCTCTGTACGTCGGCTGCATCTTCGTCGACTATATTAGGCGATAGGCTTCTTCTGGTTGGATGTGGTAAGCTCCAAGAGCGACGGCGCTTGGATTTTGAAACGTGCTCGCGATGACGCGATTGAATTACATGGATATCTAAATAAATACGCTAGACGCCCCAACCTCCGACTCGGATAACAAGATGCTGAAGAATCATTAGTGACGCTAAAGAATCATAGTGCATTCGTGAGGCCGTCTATTTGCACCGTTATGCTTGGATGAGTTCCGTGACTATGAACAACAGAACGATGAGAATGAAGGCCGTGTTCCTATGAAGAAGTACCCTATTTTCACTTTCTTCGGTCAGCAGATTCCAGATGCAAATAGCGAGTTCTCACTACTGCGCACGCAAGCAATGTTCATCGAGCAGCGTGTGTACATACTGACTGTATGCCGTACTCTGCGCTGCAACTCGTGCTGTCCCGGATGCAGTCTAATGTTACCAGTTAGTCCCAATTCAGGTCCACACTTCATACAGCTCTCTGCGCGATTTTCATGTCAGCCGACGGGAACCTCTTGTCTTGGTGTTCCGCCTGGAATCTGTATGTTGTAAAAATCCTCTATAATCGTAATGAATATTGACTATGGCTCATACATTCCCATCTTGGTGATTTCGTCCAACGTTACTGCAACCAAAGCATCTTTCGTGTAGCCGTATGTTTTCGGTGGGCCGATTCCAGTTTTTACAATTTCCAGACGACAACTGCGGGAAAGACCGCGGCGGTTGGGTTGTGCACTGATACCAAGTACCGTCGGATATCCGAATAGCGCTGCACTCTGTCCATGGCGGCCGTTGTCAAGTCACAAGTGGATTATGACGAATATACACTGCAACCAGAGTGCCTTCGTGAGGCAGTCTATTTGCACTGTTATGCTTGGATGAGTTTTCCGCGTCTTTGTGTGGAATTTTTGCAGTAGATTAGTAGGTTCTTTGCATTTTGACGGTTATTAGGACTTATGCACACGCAAACATCCTTGACGTAATGCTTTCAAAAGTGGCAGATCGATAGCATTAATATGAATTTACTCATAGCATTAATTTGTTGGTTTCTCTAGCGCAATTATATGCCAAGAACTCAGTCAGTAGATTATAATACTGAAGCTGTTGGGAATATATTTTTATAACCACAAATCCGCTTCCTTGCATTTTACAGGAGACGTTCAAAAGCATACTAATCGAAGACAAAAGTGCATTTCATGCCCAAGCATCTGGAAACTCTTGGCAGTTGCGGGTGTAGCGTTTGCTTTTGCAGTATATTATGTCCGCGAGATTGGTGGTACTATTATTTGGAATCCGTTTGGAAATGGAGCAGTTATTGTGATTATTTTGGTGCACTTCGATTCCTGTAGACGCCGGGCGCAGACTGATGACACAAGAAAGCCATACCGACGTGTGAAGGCTTTTTCTGTACCCGAATACCTGTATTTCAAAAACAGTCTAGAAATTCTTCCGGGAAAATTGTTATGAGACATTAACTGAGCGAGTATTCGGGACACTTGTGGCGCAGTAACCACAGTTTTACGATGTGTTTGATTCACGGATGGATAATATAAACAGCAGATCGGATGGCGCTGCGCAGCAGTCAGGTATCGACACCGGGATCCTTTCCTGTCGAGGGTCAGCAACCTGGCGTCAGTTTATGACTGACGGCAGACTACTGGTTTTCGGAAGAACTCCTCTAGACCCACTTATTGTACACCATGTCCAGCATGCGCAGGAAGTGATTTGTTTGGATACTGTACCTTGAGGCTTGATGTGCCCAGGCGGATGCTGTCTGCACTTTTCTGTATGGCGAAGCGGAATCATCAAGATAATAGAACGACGCACGCGAGGTATTTTGTACATGATTGTATATGAATTACTCCCTCGAAAGCACTTCAATTAAGCAATGCTCACTTAATACGATGATGGTTTTGCTGCATATACAAGGTTTTGAGCGGCTGATTAAGTACTCGTAAACGACTTTTAGCTTGGCTTTCCAGGTCAGAAATTCAGAATAACCTTCCAAGTGTGCCCAGTATTAAGAGCGTTTCTTGGGTACTGCCAATCGTGTGAATCGGATCGCCCGGTAGTTTGTCTGGGTCTCTCCTTTTAACTCAAACGAGTAGCCTGTTCGCAAAACGTTTTAAAAGCGACTAAGTTGGACACCAAAACATCATTCTGCGAACTGATTATGTCTTCGAATACAAAGTGAGCGTTCCCAGCAGTCACGCTCTTCGTCCGCATCGATCGTCTACTGACATCATGCCGCTCTTTTAACTGAGCACCAACCTTTCCAGATCGATTTCCCCGCACACTTCCACGAAAATTTAACAAAGACGCTGGACAACTGCTGCAGAAGGATCCCAAGGTAAGCAAATTGCCAAGAACGGTTTTTCCGATATACGCTTCTTCAAAGTGTGACCTTTTGCAGCACCTCTCGGTGTGCGTCAGCACCGATCAGTTCCTGACGTGCGGCCGCACCACGGAAGCCTGCGCGTTCGGCAACCTGGCGTCCAGCGGGAACTTTATTGGGAAGCACAACGAAGCGTACATCGCAGCAGAGCGAATTGGTCCACAAAAAGCTAGGAATCGATGACGCGTGGTAAGGAAAGACATTATATTGTTAAGGAGAAAGCTGCGCACACCACGTTTTACCACCAAAGTCTCCGCACACCACCTTTCACCACGACCAGGCTGCGCACACCACTGTTCGCACCACGTTTTGTCTCGGGCCACCATTTTTGCGCACCACCATATATATTTAATAATATCGTCAGTCTCGGGACACCACCTTATAATCGTAATTTCGGAAGCGTACAGTGCTCGGTCTTATATACGACTAATACAGTATGAGCTATGTTGTATTTTTCGTGTGTGTACAGCAGGTAGTACTTTACTTATAATACGTTGTATCTAACGATAGATTACAATGTTTTGGGTTTCAATATAGCGCAAGGCAAATCTTTACTAATTCTGCATGCGTAATGCAAGTCAGTAAGCACTGAAAGTTCTTAAGTAAGCACAGCAAAAAGTAAGTAAGCACTTCTTAAGTAAGTGAACACAGTAAAAAACAGGTGGTTGCTTGCTTTCGGCAAGCAACCATCCGCAAACAAAAACAACTTGCGTTCGGCAAGTTTGTAAAACCGAAAAATTGGCTAAAGCGGAGACAAACGAGTGGTATCAAAAAAGAGGAGCCAGGCCGCGAGACGAAAGAGCTGTCTTTTTCCGCCCGTAAAAACAATTAATTAATTTTGTTTTAAATATTGGTGTGCACTCTGCCCTTGGTGGTGGCCAGAGATCTCGGTGGTTTTTGTAAAAAAATTAGAAAATAATAAAAAGTGGTGTGCGGAGCCTGGCGGTGGTGTTTCGTGGTGTGTGGAGACTTTGGTGGTGAAACGTGGTGTGCGGAGCCTTCCCCTATTGTTAAAGCTCACTATCGAAAAAGGCTATTTACAGTTTTCTTGTGACATACAGTATACACTTGTAGTCAACTAAAAAGTGCGCTTTTCTACAGTGAGCGTTGGGATAATGTAATTTTTGCAGGTTTACGCTGTTCTTCAGCAATTATCCTGCGAACGAAATGGGTTTCAACGGCACCACGATCGACAGCTTCAGGAAGAAGTCGCAGATAGCACCCGCTACCTAATAATTATTGGCCCCTAGCTGTACTGCCAATTCTGCTGGATTCTTCTGGATTTGCACAGCCTAATTAAGTTGTGTCAACCGCCATGCTTTTCGTATTCAGCACAGCCATTTCGGGCCAGGCATTTCTACTACACTCTCGGGTTCCGCGCATGGCGAATACTGCCTGGCTGCAATTTAAAACGAACTGCCGACGCCCGTATGGAAGGCGCCTTCTCGAACTACTGTACAGTACAATCTTTGTGGTTCAGTATTGTTTGCATCCGCCTGTGATTTATTGTGCACTGTAAACCTCGCTGCTTAGATTTTTCTGATTGTTTGTATCCAACACTACCACGAAATTCTAAGACAGCAATAATTTTCCTTCAAAAAACAATACTGTCTTCGAGTGAAGATGTCTGTGTTACAAATGTGTGATACAAATGTGCTTAAAACGTGCAGATTCTTACAACCGACGTTAGTCGACGTAATGTAATGCAGAGACACCTGACCTGATTGTTTTATATCTAAAGGTCATGAAACACATCGCGATGATTTCTCTTACGCACGGTTCTGTTACACAGTGATTCAGCCAGTTTTGGTCATTGTGACATCCGGTTTTTCCAGTTCGTCACTGTCGCACAAAGCTGTTCCACCACAATTCTGGACTCCAATATGTCAATACAAGTTTTGTTTAGCTATTTACCGACCAGAATTCGAGGTCCCGTTTAGCGGATTGTCTGCTCCTCATGTAATAATAATAATAAGAAGAAGAATAATACAACCAAAATCCGATCCTACTAGCTTCTGACTTTTGATTGCTGACATAACATCAATAGTTTTAAAGCAAGGGATCCGATTCAGGTGCGAAATGCAGTTAATTTCGTAAAGGTGCGTATCACACATCCAACCGTATGCATTATTGGCTGTGAGACCTTGCCATCTTCATGAGGTCCACTGTACGTGTAATAGTACCTTGGTAATGGTTTTATTTCATAAACGCGTATACATTACACATTGAAAAGAAACAGTAATCACAACAACAAAATTTCATTTAAAGCTGCCGCTCCATCCACTGTTCCAGTACTGAAGCGGCCTGCCCCGCTGAATTTCTAGTGACAACCGTTGACGGAGAAATTCATGGGGCGAGGATTCACCCGTGTGTAGTTGAAGTCGTCTGCCGATTTCTTTTACTAAGAGTATGGCTTCCCCCATGACCCAAGAGTTTCGAAACCGAGTGGAGAGAAGACATATCTACCCTCCGAATACGAGTACAGTCGTAATTTTTTATCTTCGGCCTCCGCAGCAGCAGCTCCAGCGGTAACTGACGTGGATTGCAGGTAAGACATCGCAACGGTATCCACGCTGGACCACGCACGTCTCGTCCCACGCCAGGCACATACCACGCTTCCAGGCAAAGGTTGTGCACCCATCCGGACGGCGATCGGACGTGTGGGATGTACCTGTAGTTGTACTAGTACCTGTCCTTGTACTTGCACGGAAATGCTACAATTTTACTCGTATGTACATGCCGCCGTTGCCACACGTACAGTGCGCTTGATGTGCTATAGTAAATTATGTTCATTAACTACATTACTGAATTATAATCACAGTGACAGAAATTCTTTAACAGAATGTACAATCAATAACATACTGCATATGCAGTGTAACGGCCAAAACTGAATGCCAAATTGTTACATTTTCCGGTTGAATCTGGATGGACAACAGGCTGAAAAATGCACTTCTTCCCT